GGGGAAGAAAAGGAATATAGTTATGAATTCTGAAGTTCTGTATGACAGAATCATAAAGGTGTGCAGACTGTAAAAGATCTTACAGGGGTCATCTGGTCCCATCTCCTGCTCAAAGCCCACTTCAAAGTTACATCAAGTTGTTCAGAGCCCTGTGAATAAACAAGATACATCTTTTGCAAGCTCTCTGAGCACCCATTTCAGTGTTTCACAGAATTACAGACTAGTTTGGATTGAAAGCAACCTTCAAAGATCATCAAGACCAACCCCTGCTATGGGCAGGGACATTTTTTACTAAGCCAGGTTGTTCATCCAACCAGACTCTGACCACTTGCCAGGGATTGGACATTCTGCTACTGCTTCAACCTGTCCCGCTTGGCAAAAATTTCTGGGGAAGAAAAAATCCTTTCTTACCAACCCCAGTATTAAGATACAATAGTTTATGGACTACTGATGCTACAAGCAGTGGAAGAATAGAGATATAAAACCACAACTGGAGAATAAGCCAAGGCCTTGTGCCTTTCACACACGGCTGAAGAGAGGCTGTGAACAGCACAAGGCTCCCAGTTACCAACATGCTCTGTTTTCAAACCAGTTTCTCACAAAACATACATTTAAGCTCTTCCAGYTGTCAAGTTAAAAGCACTGTTTAATCAGTTGTCTTCCAAGCTTTGAATCTTTAGATTCCACTATTTCAAGTTTTATTATCACAAGATTTGCTTCCTATCTCAAAATAAGAAAATACATTAAGTAACGCTTATTTAGCCTTGCCTAAGGACTTTTGAATGATCAAAATATAAAACTGACAGCAGTATTATGAATCCCGGTAAATAGCAAAAAAAAAAAAAAAAACAACAAAACTACGTACAATATGCCTCCCACCTTGAATTCATAACCCTTACAAAGAAGACCACACTTTTTGAAGCTTTCCTGTGGTGAATCTGTCAAGTTCTACTAAAAGAGGCGTTCTAGTAGAAACAGTGACATAATACTCAGTTGAGTTACCATAAGAAAAGTTACTGAAGTATAAGGTGGCAACAATTTACATATGGAAAATTATATTTTCAGAAGTTGATGAAAAATGTCCTCTTAACCTGAAAATCTAAATGTCAGAGCTACTGTATATTAAGACTCTGAAATCTAATTAGAAAAAATATTTCTCATTTCCCATAAGTGGGCAAAGCTTTACATTTAAATGCAAAGAACACTTCCTTCTGTAAGAAAGCCAAAGCAAACAAAGTGAAAACACTAATCTAATCAAATGTACTTGTAAGATTTCTGAACTTTTAAACTTCTGAAGGAACTGTAAATAGCAAAAACACTTTCTTATGCAAATGGAATGTTGCTATTCCAAAGAGAAATCAGTTGGTCTAAACAACACAGTGAGACAAGGAAAAACTGAATTCACATCTGAGCTCCTCCAGTTGTCACATGTACAGTACAGTTTAAAACTACTTATTCCTCCTAACACTGAATTTATAAAACTAAATCAAAATCTGCCCTTTAACACTCTCAGTCAATAGCCATTAATAAATCTCCTTCGCAGCAAAAGAATCAACACAGTTGAGAGTAAGCCTTACAGAAGTTGTGTCAGTAAACAGGTTTTGTGTTTTGGTTTTTTAACTGCCTTTATATTATAACCTAGAACACATCAAAGGTAGATTAATAGTTTAAAAGAAAACTATTAATAAAAAACAGGCATTCCCCAGAGAAATATGCTGTACATTAATTCTTCCTTGAAACTTTCCATCCTTTTATAATTTTAGTTGTTTGATCTAGCATGCTAATTGGTTTTCCTCAAAAAAGCAATCTAAATACATACACGCAAGGATATACAAGTACGTAACACACTAACTGTAATTGCAGATAACATATCGCAATATTTTCAAATTTTAAATAAGATTATTTCCTAAAAATAACTATGCAGAAACAAGGAGAAAAAAGCACAATTGCCCTCTGCATTTCATTTACACTCTGTATAATCGCTGCAAGCACATAATACTGCAAGCACAATATGCTACAATCATATTATCTTCAGTTTCTTAGTCAATTTTAATTGTTAGTATACTAAAATGAAGATGCAATTGAATCGGCAGGTGTTACACGTGTGAAGAAAGCAAATTCTCATGTTCTTTGGGGGATGGCCTGTTCTGGAAGCTTTTATATTTCTTCTGAGCTTGCTAAGTGTATATTCACCTACACTGCCAAAAAAAACCCCAAACTCCTACTCTTCACACCATAAACAGCCTCCTTTCATAGTCACACAATGGTTCTGTTTAGAAGGGACCTCAAAGCTCATCTCACCTCATCTCATCCCATCCCCTGCCATGGCCAGGGACACCTTCCACTATCCCAGGTTGCTCCAAATCCCATCCAAATTGGCCTTGGATGCTTCCTGGCTCAAGGAGGCCTCTCTTCTTAACTTCCTAACTTTACTCCAGAAACTTTTGCTCAACCTTCTGCTGAGCTGACCTTTTACTTTTGACTCATTTCTTTTATTATAGCCATTAATAACTTGTTTAGTTACAACCATGTAGAAAATTTTCAAGAAGTATTATCTGCCTAACTTTTAAGTACTGTGTCAACATTCTAAATTACATTTCCACAAATAAACTGGGACTGTTAGAATTCACTACCACCACCTTTTGTAACAAATAAAAAGAGCCACAATTAGGAATTAAAAGACTTCTGTACTTTGGCAGTAGAAATCTGTATCTGCAAAAACTTCCTACCTCAAATGGCATCACTGTAACATGAAAAATGAAAAAAAGTCCCTCCAAACAAATAGACCAACCACCATCAACCACAACTGACAACACAGAAGGAATTATTTTTGCCATTTTTTCTAATCTTTTCAAGCTCTTTCTTGATCAACTTATTTGTTACAACCAAAAGCAAACTGAAATGCCATTTCTTTCTTTGGATGGAAGTGTTATTACTGCACCATAGCAAGGAAAATGTGTTCTGTAGGCTAGAGAATTAACTGTAGTCACAAAAATGTAAGCGACTAATACGGATATATTTTTTTATTATTCAGAGATTTCATATTTTTCATCTCTCAGGAAAGAATTAAATATAGTTGGACAAACATACAAAATAAACTGGCACAGAGTTGGTACTAACAGCCAACATTAAAATTAAGTTTGTTGAAAGAAAAGCGATCTACACCTGGCTATTGCTTCTCTTGTATTTTTTAATGACTACAGGAAAAGTCATCAGAAAGCATAAATCTTTCTAGAAATTCCTCCTGTTCTCCAATTCCACACTTAAAGGAAGGAAATTTATCCATGTCACCTTGACCATTAAATGGAGCATTTTTCGCATTTTCCTGAGTAAGGCACTTTTCTGTTCAGCATTCATCCCGATGGTTCCACAAAGCAACAGCAGTCAGAGGCTGCCAGCAGCAGTTCCCGTTCCACAGCTGTAGGTCTAGGAAAAACTGCTGCACAGAGCAGGACGTGACTGCAGGTAACACTTGAGTGTTCAGAAGTCAGGACAAATTCTTAACTCAAGCAATGCACCTGTATTCTTAACAGAATTGCATGTCMCTCCCAAGGTAAAGGATCTTTTCGTTTTTCAAGACAAGATTTCACAAGTCAGAAAGGTTAGCAGGGTCAGTTTTTCAAAGCCAAACACACAGGTAATTTTTAATACCAATTAAATATTTCATCCCCTTATTCTCTGCAAAACTGCAAGCTTCTTCTAGAAAGTTTCTACATCTTCCTTCAGTCACTGGAAGCTGGAAAAGTAGCAATCTCAGTACATCCCAGCAAAAAACATTACCTCATTAATAAAAAAACAACAGGGTTAAGCTTGAAATGAACGCTTTTTCATTAAAACTGGCTTACGTTACAGAAACTGGCAGTATATTACAGTATTACAGGAAGTTTCCCAATATCTGATGCCTGGCAGTAAATGTTAAATCCTAGATAAAGCCTTTCTATTGCTGTCTATTATTGAAAATTACTTAATGACTTCCCTAGTTCTGCCTTTTAATTTTTTTTAAATGGTTCAGAATGCTTCTCCTGACTTTGAAAGACCAGGCTATTGTATCTCCTCCCCTTACCTGCTCTCCTATCACTGCCTGCTAAGCAGTACATTCACTAAAAACTGCCCTTTTCAACTTCAATTCACTTGATCCCTCCTGTTTAATAAATCTGCTCTCCGTAGATTAATCTGTTAATTCTCTGAACTTAGCAGCTGCTGGCGGTGCTCTTGCCATTCCCATAAATACTGTATAAAGTCACATGTAGTGGCTGTAACAGCCGCTCTTTTCACATTGTACAGAAAGCACTTCTGAAACCCGAGCCTTTTAAATTTCATCTTATAAATTATTTTAAACAGCATGCAAAAATGATTGATTTAGGCTTTTTTTTTTTCTACTATCAGTGATAAGTTCACCTCTATGATTTTACAGTTACGTCTTGGCTGAGGGAGAGAAGGTYACTATAGAAACCTAAGACTCCACTGTATCACACAGCTTAGCAAAACAAGATAATCCACAGTCATCATCTAGCAAAATATCCCGTATTCTCTGACTGTGCAAAATGCCTTTCAAAGTTGCTAAAAGTAATTTTGGAATTAAAAGTAATTCCAAAAAAGTAATTTTGGAATTAAACTCCCATTTGTAAAAATACAAATTCTCAATTAGTTTTAAATATTCCATAAACGGTACAACCATCAAAACAACTAAAGGTATACACTGTAATTACATTCCATAGAATTTATATCTCAAGCCTACGTACAAAGTAATCCAGAAAGAACAATAACTTTAATTGTTAAAGACCTTCTTAATAGCTAAACCTGAAGTCACAAAAATAATTGCACCCATAGACTAAGAATCCCTAAGTTTTAGCTAAGGCTATACTTAATATCTGGCTGAAATCAGGACCTGGACACAGAATCTAGCACTAAGCTGTTCAGTACACAATATTTTCCTTTTCCCTGCATGAGTCAAGCCTCTCAGAGGACTATCAGAATGCCTACCACTACAGCTTACTTACTGTGACCAACGCGGTCAGTTCTGTGACATTGCCGTTCTGCAACCTGAAAAAGGAAAACAATTAATGATCAGCTGARTCATCATGTAATTTGTACCACGGCAAAGAAAGACACATCAAACAGAACAGCAAAATTTATTTTTTAAAAGTATGCGAAGTATTTCCAGCACAGCGAAAGCACCTTGTTTCCCACTGCCAGATATGAAGCCATCACAACAGGAACAGTTGAAGATAAATGTTATATAGTGACACTTGACTTGTTTGCAACCATCTTTTAAATAGGTATTCCCATTTTACCATAACTAAATTGTGAATGATACAGTACGACATGTACCCCTTTCATAAACACTGCGAAAGAAATCTTTCTGTCAAAATGTGGAAAGAATTGCCAAAAATCAATGGAAATTCTCAATTCTTTTATAACGGAACCAAAGTTTCATCCCATTAGTGATGTTTACTGGCATGCAGATTTAGAATTCTCCTCATGCTATGAGACTTCAGAAGCATCCGTGTGTCAGAACACAATCCACATATATTTCACTAGAAAGTTGAAACCCAAACAATCTTGAACACTTGTCTGGATTTTTACTTCCCAGATTTTGTTTTGCCTGGGTAGATCAGGTTTTTCTAAACRCCTACTTCACGCACACTGTACAGGACAGTGCAACATACGGAACATTTCTATTTCAGAAAAATGTTACTTGCTATAGTAGTAGAAATTCAATATTGTTGGGGTTTTCTAATATATTCTTTTCACTGAAGACATGTAAAGATTCAGTGAAGTTTTACAGCTTGGTACTTTAAAAGTATCCTCTGTAGCATTAAACATGGACTTGCTTTACAACGCTTAGAGATGCTCTCTTCACCTACACTGACAATTTTAACTGAGCAAATATGCGTCATTACCTATGTATCAAAAACGTTAGAGTAAAATCGCATTTCAAGGCTCTTGTTTGGGTTTGCCTTGATTGGAGCTTTTATGCTAACCACTTTTTAGAAAAGAAATGCATAGAAAAATAGGTATTTTTACTCTAGATCCTTCTCTACAACATCACATTGCTTGGAGCATAAAGTTCACACATCTCACAGTGGCACAGACAAGAAAGAACCCTAGTAAGTTTACACAACCCAAACTTCAATCATCTACATGAGAAAGAACTTATTTTAGAGTTAGGCAAGCTAGATAATTTAACTCTACGTAGGCAGTTGCATCAACAGCAGCCATAGTTTTTTTTTAACTTGATCTTACATTACCTGTAAATGTGCGGGCATTAACTCCAACCGCTTTTTTTGTTATGGCCACCCATGTCAAGCTACATGCCCAGGCCTGCCAGGAAAGCAATAGGTATTTTTCTCCTTTGACAAAGGACAGCCAGGAAAAAAATATTCCTCACAACAGTCAGTGGCAACATCATCAGCCAATAAACGAAAGGAATCCCACTTATTCTCCCAAGGGAAAATCTWGACATGTCCTTCTGTACCCTACTGCCATGCTTTGACACCACCAAAAAGCCTCAACCTACCATAACCAAAACAAGAGAGAAGAGATAGAAGAAGATATCACCCAGTAATTACACCATTTAAAAAGCGGGAGCAAAACATTTGAGAGAGGGGAAGCTTTAAAAAGTATATATGTATGTATTTTGCTGCACTCTCAATTATCCTGCTGGCTGACTAGAGCTCTTAACTGGGCTCTAGCTATTAACCGGGCTCTTCCTAAAAACCAGAAAACAAAGTCATATTTCTTGTTTCAAGCTGGAAATGTGGCATTTCCTGTATTAACTGAAGTTCAAAGCTCAAGTACTTGCTCTCTTGCTAAGATTATGCACAGATGTTCTATTCCTGATTACACATATTCCTGTGACACTGCTAAGTTTGGGGTTTGGTATCAGTGCTGAAGGGACTGAATAGACCCCCAAAACCTGAACTTTGGGAGAAAGGTTAGAGGTTCAGCAGAGGAGAGGGAAAAGAGCTCTTCAAGTTCTTGCTTGCCACTTGCAAAGAATGATAACCAACTACTTAAGCATCTGGCAGGCAGGAATACTGCACAGTCACAGCTTCCTCAGCCTTGAATCATGTCATGAAATAGCTTTTAAAACAGGCTTTTCTATGGCTCCCTGATTAAAAACACAAACTGGTTTTGGCCCCGGAGTCCAAAGTACAACAGGTGCCCCAAGTGGAAAGCTAAGCTAAAACTGAACAGCAAAGACATGATGAACTTAAGGAAATTACACAACATCAACTTATCTGTACAGTAGAAGAAAAATATTTTAAAGGACCAAAGAATATTGTTTTAGGTTAAATATTCTTTTTCTCAACATAAGGGCACACACACRAACACGAACAGCTCCCGATCTACCACTAAACTTTGCAATACTGGAAGTCCTCGGAACTAGTTTCTTCTTCCTTTTGGTACTCCCAGTTATGCCATTAAAGAGAAGCATTTTKGGGGGATTATTTTTTAGATTTATTTTCAGAACCAATTATTAGAAAGTGTAAAACAAAGTACCCTCAGACACAAACAAAATCCTAATGCAATTTAAGAATAAAAGGCCAGGAACAGCTAACATCCCACTCTCAATGGACAGAGGTGGAAGCTGAATATTTAAAACAACAGGAAGAACAGAAAATGAAAAGTGGTTGGTGGAAGAATGGGACAGTTAATGTGGATAAGGATGATTTTATTGGGTTTTTTTCAAATTTTATTATTGACTCTGCAACATTAATGTAACCAAATGAGGTTTTCCTCCATTATTTCCTTACTGCATAAAAAGTAAAGGAAAAGGAGGCTTCCTATGCTTAATATTAGCATAGAAATAGAGCTAATTAAGGTTTGACTTCAGTGGGAAGATAGCGTGAGGTGATTTCCCACCTTTGTTACCCTTATCACTTTACAAGGTGGGTTTTTAAGCAAGACTAGAACAACTGGTTTACATTCTGGCAATAGCATCTTCTAAGTTAAATCAAAACTTAGTATCTGAAAGCACTGCAGAATGCAGAAAAATGTGCAATATTTTCATAAAGCTGTGAGGAAAGACATTTTCTATCTTGATGGCAATTTGCTTCTTTTCCAATGCAAACATACTGCAAAAATATGCCTGTCTTTTAAAAAGGCAGTACCCTTTTTAATGATATTGCAAACAAAGACTGAAAGAACACTGTTTTCAGGTTCCTTTCTTCCTGGTTTTCATTAGTAATTCAGGACTTGTCTGCTCGGAAAGTTTACTGCGACAGGAAACCTAACAAAGTTGTAGCATTTATAAAAGACTGAAAAAGTGAGTTTAGGGAGCTTTATTGATCTGTTTAATATTTCCATTAATATTTGTAACTAGTAGTTCTTGAAAACCCTATAGAAAGAATATTTGATAAAATGGGGACCCTTATTCCCCTACACTTACACAAATATTTGAAAAAGCTGAAGCAAGTTTCTCTGTGTAAGACAAGATATGCCATTTTTGGTCATTTTAAAAGGTTTAACAGAAAGGTCATCGGTACCTCCTGAAGACCAGCACATGACAACGTACTTATTGAAAACATCTTCTACTGGAATAGTCAAAAGAAAAAGAAAAGGCATGGGCCCAAAATACAGTTTTAGAAAAGTACTGTGTTCGAGAACTAATAACTCAAAAAAAATGGATTTGGAACAAAAGAACAACCCAAAATAATCTAAAAACACCTGTGTCAACATTCCCTCCTAGTATAATATAACAGCAGCACAAAAAAGCGATTTTGTACTTGCCGTATTTGTCGGTTTCCTTCAGGCACACTTTCATCAAGTACTCCTGTCTCAGAACATTGAGCACTACATGACAAAACAGTATAAACCAAAAAATTACAGAACAACAAAAAAGTTATCTTTTTAAAGAGCACATTGGATAGGCTGTAATTTAATCCTCATGCAATTTATTTCAATGAATCTTAAAGAGCTCAGAATTTTAGAGACTTAATTTAGGACTGTAGCAGTACTCTACACTTCTGGTCAAAACTCATGACTCTGCATGGTCTCTTAGTATCGTTTTGACACAAAATAAGTTTAAACAGTTTACCAAAACATAAAATACAAAACAAGTGACACACAGAAAAACAAAATGACTGAGATTTTAAGGGAGGCCATACAGTCAAACCCTTTGCTCAAATAGTCATTTCGAATCACTTGCCCAGGACTGCATCAGATGATTTTGGAGGATCCCCAAAGATAAATGCTTAGCAACCTCTCTGACAGGGCAATCCATGTCAGTGCTCAGTCTCCCTGGAGATTAAAAAGAGATTCCTGACATTCGAGGGGAACCTCACAGAACAGGTCAGTTTGAAAGGGAGCATAGTGGGTTATCAGGTCCTGCCTCCCTGCTCAAACAGGGTCATCCCAGAGCGCATGGCACGGAACCTCCTGTGTTTCAGTCTGCGCCCATCCTTGTCCTGACCTACTGAAAAGAGCCTGGCTCTGTCCTCTGCACCTTTCATTCGGGTATTTATAAACATTGATGAGATTCCCCAAGATTTCTGGGCTGAGGAGTTCAAGCTCTCTTAGCCTTTCTCCACAGGTGAGATGCCCCAGTCTCTTCAACTCCTTAATGGCCATTTATCAGATATGCTTCAGCAGACCCAGATTGAGGAGCTCAGAACTGCAAACACAAGGCTACAAATCTCAACTCTGTCCTTCAGGTTGTATTTTGAACAGTGAAATGACATAAAGAATTGCGGTAAGCACTTAAGAATTGTAGTAATTCTTCTGGCATATATGATAACAATATGATAGCAATTACGATAACAACTAGTTCACATAAACACAACTTGCACACCAGTTCCGCTAATGAACAAAAAACATGGAGACGGGGTTGTGCCACCAAAACAGTAGACTACAAGACATCACTGGAAGCTAAARGTGTAAAGCAAGCTAGCAATCTTACTAGTTTAAAATAAAATTGATAACTAGGTGTGAGTGATGGTCTCTGCTGCCAGGAGTATTTGTGTTTTTTCCCAACTTCCCCTATTCCCTCTGTCTTGCTGAAGCGATGGTATGAATCTTGGCCACATGAGCAAGGGAAA